TCTTATTCTCTTTTGCACAAATATATATTAAGTTCACATTTTTTATTGGGTCAATAATAAGATTACTCACTGCCAAATTAAGAAAATTTACGATTCAGATTAGTTTCATTAATAATTCAATAAAGTATTTACCGATTACTGCCTCCATCATTCGTTAAAACTGTGGATTCTTAGTTTACAAATATACGACATTACTTTGCCTAAATTAATGCATTCCCCAAATAGGAAAGGGCACACCAATATGACCAGCGGAGAAAGACTTCGGGTAAGGAAAGGGCAAACCTTCTGATGATTAGCATCTGGTTCTCTCTCAATTTCATGGAGACAGCATGGAATATATTCCTCCACCAGCACCACACATGCAGAAGCCTCTGTGCCGCTGTGTGTCAGCCTCCCAATCTTTAAAAAACCGTCATGAATTGCAAGAGAGCACCCAATTATTGACTGTACCTTCTGTTTTCTGCGCATTAATTTATGGCATCATTGAGAATTCTTGAAGTCTCTAAAGTTCACTCCATCCTCTCACTCTCCCACCTCTGCCGTCGAGTACTCTCTCCCACTTACCTTCTTCGACACATTTTGGTTCAAGTTGGCTCCTGTCGAGCGCCCCTTCTTCTACCCCCTCCCTAACTCAGACCCTCACTCCTTCAACCTGTTATTCTCCCCAAACTCAAGAATTCTCTGTCTCTTGCTCTCTCCCACTTTCTCCCTCTCGCTGGCAACCTTACTTGGCCCTCACCAAGCGCTGCAAAGCCAATTATCCACTACACCCCTCGAGATGGTGTTTAGTTCACGGTTGCAGAGTCTGATGGGACTTCAATGGCCTCTCCGGGTACGAAGCACATGAAGCGATCGAGTTACATCCTTTGGTACCTCAATTGATGGTGTCCGACGATTCTGCTGTAGTCATGGCTTCGCAAATCACACAATTTCCCAATAAAGGGTTTTGTATTGGCAGAACAACCCACCATTCAATACTTAATGGTAATGTTAAGTTTATTTT